TCCTTCCCAACAAATAGAGAATTTGAGAAGGAGTTTGCTTTCACTAGGAAGGCACAGTAAGTTCAAAAAGTCCTTTTCTAGTGCAAACCTTGCCTCCAAATTCCAGATTCATGCCTACTGGACATCTCCACATGGATTCAAACTTACGGGTCCAAAACAAAACACCTACTTCCCCACCCCCTTGCTTTTCTCCAGTCTTTCACATCTCAGACGCAGCAACTCCATTCTTGTAAATAACTCAAGTTAAAACCTTAGAGTCATCCTTGACTTTCTTTTTTTTCATCATACCAAATTCACTACATCAGAAACTCTTTAGAACTATGTCAAAACACATAATTCACATCCACCATTACCACACAGTTCACTGCAATCATCTCTTCACTATATATTTTGAGATGGAGTCTTGATCTGTTTCCCAGGCTGGAGTGCAATGGCACTATCTCAGCTCACTGCAAACTCTGCCCCCCGGGTTCAAGCAATTCTCCTGCCTTAGCCTCCAGGGTAGACAGGATTACAGGCAAGCAGCACCAGACCTGGCTAATTTTTGTATTTTTACTAGAGACAGGGTTTCACCATGTTGGCCAGGCTGGTCTCGAACTCCTGACCTCAGGTGATCCACCTGCCTCGGCACCCCCAAAGTGCTGGGATTACAGGAGTGAGCCACTGTGCCCAGCAAATCTCTTCACTATATTATACAACTAGTCTCCCAACTGGTTGTTGGGAGTCACTCTGTGACCACATTTGCTATTCTACACTCCATTTTCCATAAAGCAGTCAGAAAGATCCTTTAACATACCATCCATCTACTTCAAATATTATTTCCATACGATTGAGAGTAAAAGCACAAGTCCTTCGGTTGCTCCACGTGGCCCAAAGTAATTTGTAGCACTCCCTCTCTTTCACCAACCTTGACCCCCATCTCCTACCACTCTCCTACTCCACCAGTATGTGCTATGGTTTGAATTTGTCCTCCAAAGTGATGTGTTGAAATCTTGGTCCACAATGCAGTAGTGTCAGGACCTTCATGAGAGGTGTCTGAGTCATGGGTACCAGCCTCACTAATGGATTAATGCCATTATCTTGAGAGTGAGTTTATTATAAAAGGATGAGTTTAATACCAGCTCAAGCTTTACCCTCTTTTGCCCTTCACCTTCCACTATGGGATGGCAGCAAGAAGGCCCTCTCCAGATGTAAGCCCCTTGATCCTGGACTTTGCAACCTCAAGAAATATTAGTTAATACATCTCTTTACTATAAATTACCAGTCTCTGGTATTCTGTTATAGCAGCACAAAGTGAGCTAAGACACTATACCAGTCACCTTGGCCTCCCTGCTCTTCTTGAAGACACTAAGCATGAGTGTCCTCAAGGCTCTGGCCTTCGTATTTCTCTCTTCTTAAAACCCTGTTCCCTCAGGTACTTATATTTCTTGTTCCCTTACTTCTTTGAGATCTCTGCTAAAAGGACACCTTATCAGAGGCTTTCCCTGACCACCCCACAAAAGGTCCTTCCTCAGTCGTCATTCTCTGTCACTCTGGCCCTGCTTCATTTTTCTCACTAGTACCCGTCATCTCCTGACATATTTATTTGACTCTATTCACTAGAATGGAAGGTCATGAGGGCTGGAAGGTGGTCTGTTTTCATTTTTACTATTGAATCCCCAACATCCATGAAATGGCCAGCATATAGTTCTCAGTAAATATTTGATGGTTTTTTGTTGCTGTTTGTGTTTTGGAGGCAGAGTCTCACTCTGTCATCCAGGCTGGAGTGCAGTGGCATGATCACTGCAACCTCTACCTCCCCGGTTTAAATGCTTCTCCTACCTCAGCCTCCTGAATAGCTGGGATTATGGGCTCACACTACCATGATATTTTTATTAGAGACAGGGTCCACCATGTTGCCCAGGCTGGTCTTGAACCCCTTACCTCAGACAATCCACCCCCCTTGGTCTCCCAAAGTGCTGGGATTACCTCCCAGGCAGTATTTGTTGAATAATCAACTGAATGAAGAATGATGGCAGTATGAGTCAGAACAAGATAGTGGAAATGTGTGGCAGCCATACTTCAAGATGCTCCCAGTGGTCCCTGCCTCTAGTATTCAAGCTCTTGCATCAGCCCCTCTTACAGTGTATACAGCAGACTGATACATGTAACTAATAGCAGAAAAGATAATTTGTGACTTCTAAGGCAGGGTCATAAAGGACATTCTGGCTTCCATCTCATCTACTCTGTTGCACTGCACCATGTCATGAGGACACTCAAGCAGCCTGTGGAGAGGCCTTTGCAGGAAGACTCAGAGACTCCTGCTAAGAAGCACCATGAGATTGAATTCTCTGACAAGTAGATCTTAAAAACCAGTCGTGCTTAAATCCAGTAGCACATTAAAAAGTTAATTTACCAGGTGGGCACATCGCTCACTCCCATAATCCCAGCATTTTGGGAGGCCGTGAAAGTCAGATTCCGAGGTCAAGAGATAGAGACTATCCTGGCCAACATGGTGAAATTCCATCTTTACTAAAAATACAAAAATTAGCTGGGTGTGGTGGTGAGCGCCTGTAGTCCCAGCTACTCGGGAGGCTGAAGCAGGAGAATTGCTGGAACCCAGGAGGCAGATGCTGATAGTGAGTGAGATAGCACCGCTGCATTCCAGTCTGGCAACAGAGCAAGACTCCATCTCAAAAAAAAAAAAAAAAGTAAATTTACCATGATCAAATTGGCTATATTCCTGGGATGCAAGGTTGGTTCAACAAACACAAATCAATAAATGAGATTAACCACACAAACAGAATTAAAAACAAAACCACATGATCATCTCAATAGATGCAGAAAAGGTATTCAATAAAATTCAACATTCCAATGAATTACATATCAAAGGAACACATCTCAAAATAATAAGAGCCTTATATGACAAACTCAGAGCCAACATCATACTAAACAGCGGAAAAGCTGGATGCATTCCTGTTGAAAACCAGAATAAGACAAAGATGCCCAATCTTACTGCTCCTATTCAACATAGTACTGAAAGTCCTAGCTAGAGCAATCAGGCAAGAGAAAAAAATAAAAGATAAAAGGCATCTAATTGGCAAGAGAGAGAGTGAAACTACTTTTTTTCTTTGTAGATGACATGATTCTTTACCTAGAAAACCCCATAGACTCTGCCAGAAGGATCCTAGAACTGATGATAAATGACTTTAGGAAAGTTTCAGTATACAAAATCAATGTACAAAACCCAGCAGCATTTCTATATACTAATAACACCCAACCTGAGAGCCAAATCAAGAACACAATCCCGGCTGGGCACATGACTCAAGCCTGTAATCCCAGCATTTTGGGAGGCTGAGGCAGGAGAATCTCTTGAGCCCAGAAGTTCAAAACCAGCCTGGGCAACACAGGCAGACAGTGTCTTTTAGAAAAATAAAACAAATATTACCAAAGCATGGTGGCATATGTTTGTAGTCCTGGCTACTTGGGAGGCTGAGACAGGAGGAAGGCTTGAGCCTGGGAGGTCAAGGCTGCAGTGAGCTGTGATTGTGTCACTGCACTCCAGCCTGGGTGGCACAATGAGACCCCATCTGAGAGAGAGAGAGAGAGAGAGGAGAGAGAGAGAGAGAGAGAGAGAGAGAGAGAGAGAGAGAGAGAGAGAGAGAAAGGAAAGAAAGGAAGGAAAGGGAACAACAACAAAAAAAGAGAGAAAGGAATCCTATTTACAGTAACCACAAAAAGTATACAATACCAAGGAATACAGCTTACCAAGGAGGTAAAAGATTTCTGCAATGAGAATTACAAAACACTGCAGCAAGAAATCAGAGATGACACAAAATAAAGGAAAAGCATTCCATGCTCATGGATCGAAATAATCAATATTGTTAAAATGGCCATACTGCTCAAAGCAATTTACACATTAAATCCTATTCCTGTCAATCTACCAGTTATTTTTCACAGAATTAGAAAAAAGCATTCTAAAATTCATATGAAACCAAAAAGAGCCTGAATCACCAAAGCAATCCTAAGCAAAAATAACAAAACTGGGCTGGGTATGGTGGCTCACACCTGTAATCCCAGCACTTTGGTAGGCCAAGGTGGGTGGATTGCTTGAGGTCAGGAGTTTGAGACCAGCCTAGCCAACATGGTGAAATACTGTCTTTACTAAAAATACAAAAATTCGCTGGGCATTGTGGCGTGCACCTGTAGTCCCAGCTACTTGGGAGGCTGAGGCAGGAGAATCACTTAAACCTAGGAGGCAGAGGTTGCAGTGAGCTGAGATCAGGCCACTACACTCCAGCCTCAGTGACAGAGCAAGACTCCATCTCAAAAAAATAAAGTAAAATAAAATAAAATAAAATAGCAAAGATGTAGCAAAGAACAAGGAACATCACAGTACCCAACTTCAAAGCAAAGGCTACAGTAACCAAAATAGCAGGGTACTGTATAAAAACAGACACATAGACCAATGGAATAGGGTAGAGAACCCAAAAATGAAGCCAGATACCTACAACCACCTGATCTTTGACAAAGTGAACAAGAGCAATGAGGAAAGGGCTCCCTTTTCAATAAATGGTTCTGGGATAACAGCCTAGTCATATGCAGAAAGTTGAAACTGGACCTCTTTTTTTCAACACATACAAAAGTTAACTCAAGATAGATTCAAGACTTAAATGTAAGACCTAAAGCAATACAAACCCTGGGAGAAAACCTAGAAAGTGCCATTCCGGACACTGTCTTGACAATGTATTTATGACTAAGTCCCAGAAAGCAATGGCAACAAATATAAAAACTGACAAGTCAAGTGGGACCTAGGAGAGAGCTTTGGCATGGCAAAAGAAACTATCAACAGAGTATATAGACAATTTACAGAATGGGAGAATGTATCCAACAAAGGTCTAATAACTAGAATCTGTAAGGAACTTAATTCAATAAACAAAAAAGAATCCCATGAAAACATAGGAAAAGGACATCAACGAACACCTCTCCCTCTCTCTCTCTCTCTCTCTCTTTTCTTCCAGTCTCCATAGAGACTGTCAAAAATTGCCAATGGCAACTATATTGCAAGTCCTCCCGGTGGGGTATCGGTAAAAGTTTTCAATTAGCAATAATCGCGCCTTGGATAAACTCATTGGCTACGATACTGCCACTGCGCAAAGCTAATGAACACTTCTCGAAAGCAGACATACAAATGGACAACAAATATATGAAAAAAAATGCTCATTATCACTAATCATTAGAGAAATGCAAATCAAAATCACAATGAGGCTGGGCGCGGTGGCTCACGCCTGTAATCCCAGCACTTTGGGAGGTCGAGGTGGGTGGATCATGAGGTCAAGATATCGAGACCATCCTGGTCAACATGGTGAAACCTATCTCTACTAAAAATACAAAAAATTAGCTGGGCATAGTGGTGCGTGCCTGTAATCCCAGCTACTCAGGAGGCTGAGGCAGAATTGCCAGAACCTAGGAGGCGGATGTTGCAGTGAGCCGAGATCGCGCCATTGCACTCCAGCCTGGGTAAACAAGAGCGAAACTCTGTCTAAAAAAAAAAAAAAAATCACAATGAGATACCATCTCATACCAGTCAGAATGCCCATTACTAAAAAGTCTAAAACAACAGACTTTGTCGAGGTTGTGGAGAAAAGGCAATACTTAATACACTGCTGGTGGGAATGTAAATTAGTTCAGCCACTGTTAAAAGCAGTTTGGGGATTTTTCAGAGAACTCAGAAATACCATGCAGCCATAGGAAAGAACCAATCATGTCCTTTCCAGTAACATGGATGCAGCTGGAGGCCATTGTCCTAAGCAGATTAATGCAGGGACAGAAAACCAAATACTGTAGGTTCCTTCTTATATGTGAGAGCTGAACATTGAATACATATGGATACAAAGATGGAACAACAGACACTGGAGACTGTTGGGAGAGTGGTAGGTTGAAAGGCTACCTATCGGGTACTACGCTCACTACCCTAGGTGACAGGATCATTCATTCACCAAACCTCAGCAACACACAATTTACCCATAACAAAACAGCACATGTACCCCCAGAACCTAAAATAAAAGTGAAAGAAGGAAAAAAAAAAAGGAATTTCAGGATGGCAACCACAGAACCTTTTTTAAAAAATTATTTTAAGTTCCAGGATACATGTGTATGATATGCAGGTTTGTTACATAGGTAAACATGTGCCATCGTGCACCTATCAACCCATCACCTATGTATTAAGCCCCATATGCATTAGCTATTTATCCTGATGCTCTCCCCCTGCACCCCCCAACCACAGGCCCCAGTGTGCGTTGTTCCCCTTCCTGTGTTGATGTGTTCTCATTGTTTAGCTCCCACTTATGAGAACATGTGGTGTTTGGTTTTCTGTTCCTGTGTTAGTTTGCTGAAGATAATGGCTTCCAGCTCCATCCATGTCCTTGCAAAGGACTTGATCTTATTCCTTTTTGTGGCTGCATAGTATTCCATGGTGTATATGTACCACATTTTGTTTATTCAGTCTATCATTCATGGGCATTAACCACAGAATATTTAAATCCCAAGCATTAGGCCCATAAGACTGTAGGACTCTGTGCGAATACACTGTTTGAATGCCCATGAAACTGTCCCTGCCTGGACTAGATAGTAAAGTTATAGGACTGAATGAGTTCTATAGGGAAAGATGAGAAGAAAAGAGGCCTAAGACCTGAAGCTAGAAAAGCAACAACATTTACAGGATGGGCAGAGAAAGAATATCCTGGTGGCCAAAAGCTGTAGTTAATGACAAATGAATGAGAAAATAATGGTTCTGTGATCCCTGTTGCAAATACAAATAACCTGGCTATATATTAAGAACATTTTATTTCACAAATTATTTTGTATGGATGCTAATTCTTCAGGGATAAGAGTGTGGCTCTTACACAGGCCTATTATCTTGGCTATTTTTGATGCATATATTACTCAATTGAAAAAAAATGTGCAAGAGAAGTTGTAGGAAATAAAATGGATTAGAGGAAAGAATGGAATTTACTAGTAATAGACTCATAGTTAACCTAAGTTAGCAATTCATTCCCTTCTAGCAACAGCTACCTTTACATATAAGGCCAACAATATTCCTCTGCAACATTTATCAAGCAAAAATGTAAACTCTTAAAATCTGTGAAGAATTCTAAATGACTAATTGAAACTTGTTGAAAAACCAACTACAATAATTTTCTAACTACAAAGTAACTTTGAGCAAAGTTTTAGTACATAAAAATGAGAACATTTGGTGAAAAAACTATGGCAGGAAGTTGATGAGACTTTGAATTTAGAATTGGTGGGGAAAAAAGTGATCTGAAAAAAAAATGGATTGGGAGTCTCTGGAGGTGGTTTATGAAGTGGGTATGAGCACAGATTCTAAAACAAGCTGTTCGGGTTTCAATCCTGGCTCTGCTATTTACTCCCTGTGTGATTTTGGACAAGCTGCTCAAGTTGCTTCATACCTGAAGAAGGGGATAACAATCTCTCTAGGGTTGTTATGTGGATTAAATGACTGGATGCCTGTAAAACACATAAAACTTTTCCTAGCACATAAAAAGTACTATGAAAAAATTTGTTATATGAGAATTGTAAAAACTGATCATATAACCAAAACACTTTTGAAGTTTCTACTTTTAGTGAGTCTCACAAGCTCAGGTGAGAAACTTCAGTAAAAGAAAACAATCTCTTCTCATCTTCTTTCTTCTCCCATCGTTTTTTTTTTTTTTTCTCCTATTTTCAGAGTACTGTATTGTCTCTTTTACTGAAAACAATTCTCTTTATTCAAAAAGGTACCTTCAGTAGCAAGGATAGTGTTTCCCAGATATTTTCTTTCTTCTTCCCTCTCAAACACTGTCCAGAGATTTTTTTTTTGAGACAGAGTCTTGCTCTGTCACCAGGCTGGAGTGTAGTGGCATGATCTTGGCTCACTGCAACTCCGCCTGCGGGGTTCAACCCATTCTCCTGCCTCAGCCTCCCGAGTAGCTGGGACTGCAGGTGTGGGCCACTATGCCCAGCTAATTTTTTGTATTTTTACAAATGGGGTTTCACCATGTTGGCCAGGACAGTCTCGATCTGACCTTGTGAACCACCTGCCTGGGCCTCCCAGAGTGTTGGGATTACAGGCATGAGCCACTGCACCCAGCCCACAGATACTTTCTTAAAAGCAATTTCATCATGTCTTTTAATGTATATATTCATTGCTATCTTCCCACTTAGATTGGTCTCAATGATTTCTTTCTTTCATAGAAAACATTAAAAATAAGGAGCTGAGGTGTAAGGATTGCTGGAGGCCAAGAGTTCAAAACCAGCCTGGGCAACATAGACCCCATCTCTACAAAAAATTTAAGAATTAGCCCCACGTAGTAAGGATTGCTGGAGGTCAGGAGTTCGAAACCAGCCTGGGCAACATAGTGAGACCCCCATCTCTATAAAAATTTTAAGAATTAGCCCCACGTGGTTGTATGCTCCACTTGTAGTTCTAGTTACTGAACTCCCATCTGGGCAACAGAGCAAGAGAGACTGTCTCAAAAAAAGTATATGGAAGAAAAAAAATGCACAATAGATTTAGCGTTATTACAATAACCCTAGCACTTCAGTGGAAAAAAATATAAAAAATTTCAATGAGTAGTAGACAATAACACATATAACCAAGATTTCAAATATACCTTCTAGTCCTTTTGAGAAGTAAAAATTGACCAACGTGAATGCTTTTTTTTGGAAAAAGTTTTTAAACACACGATCCCCAAAACCTGCCGTTCAAACAACTCCAAGCGTCTTTAAAGTACTAAATCCCTTGGTATTTGTCCTATCGGTCCCTTTGGTTTCCAGGAAAGCATTAAAAATAAAAATAAAAACTCTCTGCCTTATTTTATTTCACTAATTTCTTTTCCCTTATTATAGCTTTCCACATTGCTTTAGAAGAGTTTACATCTAAGTCTAGTGGCCTTCAGCTTCTTCTGCCTCTTTGACACAGAGGACTAATAGGCTGCACGCTTCAGCGGTTATCTTCCGACCACTCCCTGTGTGCTCCTGCGGGCAGGGTAGGGGGCGCTTCTCCACTATCCGCGACCTCAGTGTATGCGGAAATCCTCCTGCCTTTGTGCACACGCCTATTTAGAAAATTTTCTCCACCCCCCCACCCCCATCCGTCCCGCCCCTTCTTCTTTTGCTTGTTCTGTAAGAGTTTTGCCTCTCCTCCCACCCCCACTTACCCGTGGTCTTACCCTACCCCTACAGATTCCACTTTCCCCACTTCGGAGTTAGAGTAATTTAACATCCCCTATTATTAGCTCCACGTCGCCTTTAAACGCCATTCAAAAGAGCTCGCCTACCAGGGTGGTGCAGCTGTGCTGTAGCGGCATTTCCCCCCTCTCCAGCATGAGGTTAAAACAAAGCAAACCGCAGTGTGTGTCCACGGACGACCTTGGAACGAAAAGCTGCCCTGCTGGGGATCAATGTTTGGGGAACCCCGTTCACTCCCGCCCTCGCGTGTTCCCGCCTCGTACTCCAGCTATTCCCCCGCGCGCAGGACGGGACTACTCCCTCTCCATTCTCGCCCGCCGACTTCCTTCTGCGCGCCTCATAAAACCGGGGAAGTTCAACCATTCCGCAGCGAGCCGCGGCGGTCGCACTGGGCATGCTCAGTCTCCGGGCCCCGCTCGGCAGTCGAGAGGTTTCCTCCTGCTCTGGGCTCGGGTCGGCGGGCGTCTGGGCTCGGCTTTTCCAGACGTGGGCTGGGCAGAGCGGACCCTGAGCCCGAGCTACACGCGCCCCGCGGTCCCCGACTCGACCCTTGGGAGAGCCGCGCTGTTCCGGAACCTGGGAGCCCCCAACTTCGTGCCAAGTTCGGAGCCGCCTTCTGAGGGAGAGACATGAAAAAGATGAGCAGGAACGTATTGCTACAAATGGAGGAAGAGGAGGACGACGACGATGGGGATATCGGTGAGCGAAGGGTCCTAGCGTCTCCACCCGAGAGCCCGAACCAGCACGGGAAGAAGTTCGGGGACTGCGCGGGGCGCTACGCTCACCGCAGGGGAGGTTGGCCGGGACCCTCGGCCTCTCTGGGCTGGGGAGGAAGCCTGCTGTCCCCGGCTGGTTGCACACTCAGGCCCGGGTGCGGCCCCGGCGGGGGCGGAGGCGCGGGGCGCGTGGTGG